TAATAAACTTGATATTATTTTCAAAGGACTAATCCAATATGTTTACGGTATGTGCAGCACAGGCAATAGGAATATTCTGGAGAGCCCTGTTTAGATGGCAGAATCAATTGTGTGGAATATAATGATATGCATGTATGTGTCTGCACAAATCCTGTGTCTAACATACCTACAAACACATGTATGCATGCTCTCTTCTACTTTTCTGTCCTCTGTTAACTGTAGGTTTCTTTGCAGCTCTCCCTTTGCCACCTTAAATTCACCAGTGCTACATTAATAACAAAATTCATCCATAAAGAAATACTTTTTTTTTATAATAGCAATACTTTTTGTTGCCTACATTGACTACAATCCTGTGCTGAGCTCCTTTGGATACAAATAATTTTTCATTTCTCTCCTCAATCAACCTTCTTGATTCTTACTAAGACAGAGAAAAAAAAAAAAATGAAAACAAAAATGAAAAAAAACAACAACAACAAAAAAAAACAAACCAAAAAAACCCAAAACACAAACACACACTGATTTATGCATTAATTCAGAGACCAGTCTTGCAAATGTTCACATGGGTAATCCTTCCTCAAATGCATAATCCCTCTGACCATAGCACAGTGATTAGCAACAATACAGATTAAGGTTTTCAGAATCAGGCCCATGCCCTGATTCTTCAGTTCTCATCTAAAGTTTGGTGGATGATGGTACCTCTTCTTTTGTTATATGTTATTAGAGGCCCACATGCAGCTCTCAATTATTTCATTTGATTACATAGATAAAATGCCCTAGTCCTGTCAGCACTCCCTGCAAAGCCTGAAGTAAACAATTACAGCTGAGTTAGGAGGCTTGGCAGGATTGGGCCCTTTAATAGCAGTTTTGAGCTGTATCTGATTTGTGATCAGAATGTCTTTGATATTAACAGTCTCATGTTTCATTTAGAGATAATCTCAATTAAAAAAAAAGCTAGCAGAAAATCTGTGAGTATATGAGCTGGTATAGCTAACTGGATCTAAAGAAAAAGAAATTGCTATTTAAAAACAAAAGTCACATGAATTTTTATTTCTTTGGAGCAAAACTTGCCTGCTACTTAGCTTGTCTATTTAAAAATAAAATTCACATATATTGCTTATTTATTTGGAACAAAACCTGCCTGCAATTCTTTTTACATCATACAACGCCTGATGGCTTTCTGTGCTATGGGTCCAGGGGTTTGAAGTTCAGCAGAAGAATCCCCCTCCAGCAACCTTTTGGCCTATTCCTGCATTTCTTCTTTACTTGCTCGTTTTCTGGAGAATGAAGAGAGTCAGGACTGATGTATCGCTGTGTCCCCCTTGCCTGCACCACACGGTGTTCATTAAAAACTTGCTGCTAGCAAGGGCCTGATCCAGCCCTCCTGGAAGTCATTGGAAAGCTGTCTACTGATGCCATGGGGACGATGAGCATACTAATGCATGCAAGTACCTTTACTAATGCAGCCAGTCCTGTTAACAACACCGAAGTTGTTCACAGGATTAACAGCAATCAATCAAGCCCTTTGAAAGGCACATTAAAAGCCAAAGCCTGGTCTGGCAAGCCCTTTCTCACAGGAGGTGTGTGTATACCTCTGGATGGTCCTGCTTCATCCTTCTGCTCCCGGCCTGGCCGTGCCTGTGCCTTTTTCCAGCTGTGTGAATTTGGGGTAGCATTTCTTCTGAGGAGGTAAAAATGGATGGCCATCTACCCCCAGAATAAATGGTGATTGTGTTCTAAGAAAAAAATAACTAAAATAAAATAAAATAAAATAAAATAAAATAAAATAAAATAAAATAAAATAAAATAAAATAAAATAAATACATTAATCAGAGTGAGAAGCAGGAGAAAACAGGGCTCCAAATGGCTGGGGTTGGGGGGGTCTGCTTTTTCCCTGCAAGTAGAAAAAAAAAAAAAAAAAGTGAAGTGCTTTATTTTGGTCCCAAGCAGATAAATAATTTTTACTCTCCTGGATAAACTGAAGCCTGTTACAAAAGTCCTTATCCTTACAAAATTCCTATGGACTTCTCTGCTTCTGGATTGCTGAACTGGACCCACTGTGATTACACTGGGAACATTTCTCACTGGGGAACTGTTCAGCAAAAGCTGGTTTATAGATAACAATTTCACTCCTCCTTTGCCTGTATCTGTTTAAAATCTGCTACAGCCCCTTATACATGTGTAAAGGTTCTTATGGGGTATAGCTTATTTCCACCCACAGCAGCAGCTGTGTTCATCTTGGAGCCCTTGTAGCAATATTTGTGTCCGTATTATTTCATCCTGCCACCCCTCACAGCTGTGCCTGTGCACCAGGGGGCTGTACTTGAACAGCATCCATTTCTAAATGACTATACTTACAGCTCTGTGAAAATGGGGCGTGGACCAGTTCAAAGTTTTAAAAAATAGAGATTGTTATAAAAGGGACACCCGCACTGAGCAGCAAAATTACTCTTTTTACTGCCCTGTTATTTTTAATCGGTTTTCATTTGGGATTAAGCGATATTGCAGGCAGAGTGGCCTGCTCGTGGACAAGGTGTTAACAGAGCTATCCCTGGGATGGATCAGTGCCGGATGTTGTTTCACTTTTCACTGTAGTGGATATTTCTTCTTTAAAAAAATAAAGGTTTAGTCCTCCTAGTTGAATCACGGATGTGGTTTCAGGATCAGAAAGAGCAGATATTAGGATTTTTAAGGGGCGGGGTTGGTGGGGGAGGAGGGCTGAAAGATTTTGTTTCATGTGGGTTTTGTTGTTGTTGTTGTCAGTCTTTTATCACAGTCCAAGGCACAAGGCAGGATTTGAAAACAGGTGAGTCACCGGGCTGGGAATTTGGGAGTGGGGCTGTGTGAGGTTTTTACCCTCCCCTCAGCTCCTGGGCTGTCATATCTCCGTGTTTGTAGCCTTTAAAGGTTACAGGAGTGTGTCCAGGAAGGGAAGACGGGACGGGCAGACCAGCCCCCTCACCCCCCCCGGCTTGGACCCCAGTACACGGCACGCCTGGTCTGACGGCAGACAATGCGCGGTGCCTGCCACCAGCCCGGCACCAGGCGGCTGACAGCCGCTGCTGCCCATCAGCGTCCGAAGATATTTAAAGAGCCGTAAAAGGCAGCGCAGGCTCCTCACGGGTGTTGCCCCCCGGTGCGGACCCCCGGAGGGTGGGATGGGGAGGCTCCGCGGGGCCGGTCCCGTCCCGCTCCCCTCGCAGGGATCGGCGGTGGCCCCGGAGAGGGGCGCAGTCCTGCTGCCCCCCGATCCACCCCCGCTCCTCTGCTGGCAGGACACGGGAGCACTCTCAGACACAGGAGTAGTTGGAATAGCCGAGCCACCTGCAATGGGGTGCTTTTCTTTTTTGAAGGTTTTTGTTTTTAACGGGAGGAGGAGGGGACGGTGGCGGGGGGGAGGGGGGGGGGCGGTTGTTGACAGGACACTGCTTTCCTTCTCTGTTATTAAAACAAAACCCAAATAAAGTGGTAAGGCGGTAAAGCTTGATCCTTTCTTTCTTTTGTTTATTTGTTTGTTTGTTTGTTTTTAAAACAGAAATTAAAAAAAAAAAAAACAACCCCGGTCAGTAAAGCAGGCAGGAAGGTTAAAATTTTAAACTAATAACCTCCTTCCTCCGTGGCTGCCCCTTCCGTCGGCAGTCACACGTGTTACCTGCGCTCCCGGGGGACGGGCGGCCGGGGGGGTCCCGCTCGGCAGCCCGCCACCCCTTCCCCAACTCCCCGGGGCCTCCGCCGCGCTCAGCCGGCGGCGCCGGGAACAATGGCCGGGGCCCCGCGGGGCCGGGGCGGCGGGGGCTGCGGACACCCCCGGGGGAGCGGCCGCAGCCGGGAGCCCAGCGCTGCAGCCCGCCCGGCAGGGGAGAGGGGGTTCAGGCCAGGTAACTCGCGGGCTGCTCCGAGCTCGCCTGCTGGTGCTCCTCCGAGCTTCATCCCCGCGCGGCTCGCACGGGAAGCGGGAGAACCGGAGAAAAGGGAAAGGGGAGAGAAAAGAACACGGGGAAAATTGCTCTGAGCGCACGAAGAGCCGTGTTTCGTTACTGTCCGGATTGCTGTTATTATTATTTGGGGGACAAGGGGGAGTTGCGTCCTTAATCCGAGGCTCCCTACCCTCCCCACCCCCAGATGCTATGAAAGAAGAGCTGATTTCGTCTCCACAATACAGTACACTTTGTCTAGAGAGCATTGTTCGGACAAGCAACTCCTGATCACTGATCACTACAAAATACAATTTATGTTTCCATCAGAGACAGACAAAATATCCTGATGGCTTGAAAGGCGGGTAAGAAAACCTTACTTAATCAATCCCTTTCCAATATACACACGCACATACACGCACACACACACACAGCCCGTATAGGAGATAACGCCCGCACTGACCGTACATAACATAAATAGCGGCAGCACGAAAATTAACAGTCATTTCGCTATTCTTCGACTCTCGTCAAAGCGCTACAATAATATAGTTTGTGCTTTCCTAGTTTGATGTCATAATCGGTAACATAATTTATATTAAACAAAAAGAGAGCTAAAAGATCATGCAATTTTTTTTAGATGCAACATGAACAGATATAGTAAAGAGAGCTTGTAACATCACAATCACAACAACAACAGCAAAAGCAACCTCTGAGCCGGGGGGTTCATCCGTATCTGAACTGCTTTTTATTATCATTTGCAAAATTAGAATAAGAGTAAATAATAAGTAAGAGACATCATCATAACAGAAAGAAGTCAGGACACCTTTGGTTTGGGTATTTTTTCCCCTCTGAAATAAAAAGGCAGATTTCCCGATGACCACTGAAATTATAACGACAGCGATAGATCGGAGGGCTTGCAAAGGAAAAGGAAAAAAAATCATCATCATTGGTCCTAAAAACGCAACCGTTCCCCTTTGCTCACTTGGCACAATAGAAATTGACTGTCTCTCAAAGAGCCATGCGCCTAGTACTATTTATAGCCAGGGGCTGTGTTGGAAGATACCATTAAGCCTCTGCCGGGCAGACAGA